ACCTAGGGCTGCGTGAAAAATTTCCTCGAAGGTCATTTTAAAAGTATTCTCAAATGCTGAAGGGTAGATTGCAGCACTATCAGGGGCGGACTGGCCATGGGGGCGGGGAAGCGATCCCCTAACAATTTGCCGCGGAGGTCCCGAAGGGGCCCCCGCAGCGAATTTTTTTCGAGTCATCGTTTTTTTCCCGTAATGTTGGAATTTTCTTATCCTTTTCAACCACTAAAAGGCCCCGAATTCCTTGAAAATTTGTCTCTAAGAGACATGAAAGGTCGCCAAAAGCATTTGTGATGAAGGGACCCCCGATGAATCCTGAAAATGGGTTATTTTGAAGTTCAAGTACTGTAGAATCCAACTCTAATAATGCCTATGTGTTTAAAAAGTGTAAAATTTTCAAAATTTACCGGGGGAGGGCCCCCGAACGGCAGGAGGGGCCTTTGCATTTAGGTCTCCTCCTAACTTTTCGACTACCAGTCCGCCCCTATGTGCCGCTACTGCAGTTTTGACCGTTAAGCCGTAGTTTAAGGGCGCTAAATGCCAGGATTGACTTTCGCAAACAGATAATTTTTGCAGAATACTTAAAATTAAGAAGCAGGAGTAATTTAACTAAATAATAAACGGAACTCAAATCTACAGTACAATGCAAAACAATTTCGAAAATCGCGTCATGTAAATACAGAAGATTCGATAACGCCTTCAATTGAAGCGTGAAACCTCACGCGTTCCGGAGAGTTCAAATAGTTGTATCCCTGCGCCTTAGCAAGGCGATGGAAGTTTAATATTGAAGTAGCGTCCCCGTTTGGTTTTTTGGCTTTCCTGTGCCGCTCTTGCAGTTTCGACCGTTAAGGCCGTAGTTTAAGGGCGCTAATGCCAAGATTGTATTTTGCCAAAAGAAAGTTTTACCAGAATTAGGTATTACAAATTAAGACGCAGGAATAATATCACTGAATAATAAAAGGAACTCAAAACTACAATATAATGCAAAACAATTTGGAAAATCTCTTCATGTAAATACAGAAGATTCGAAAACGCCTTCAATTGAGGCGTGATACCTCACGCGTTCCGGACAGTTCAAATAGTTGTATCCCTCCGCTTTAGCAAGGCGATAGAAGCAGCGTTCCCGCTTGGTTTTTTGGCTTCTGTGCCGCTACTGCAGTTTCGACCGTTAAGGCCGTAGTTTAAGGGCGCTAATGCCAAGATTGTATTTTGCCAAAAGAAAGTTTTACCAGAATTAGGTATTACAAATTAAGACGCAGGAATAATATCACTGAATAATAAAAGGAACTCAAATCTACAGTACAACGCAAAAGAACTTGGAAAATCTCGTCATGTAAATACAGAAGATTCGAAAACGTCTTCAAATGAAGCGTCATACCTCACGCGTTCCGGAGAGTTCAAATATTTGTATCCCTGCGCCTTAGCAAGGCGATGGAAGTTTAATATTGAAGTAGCGTCCCCGTTTGGTTTTCGGCTTTCCTGTGCCACTAGTGCAGATTCGACCGTTAAGGCTGGAGTTCTAGGGCGCTAGCGCCAGGGTTATATTTCGCAAATGGATATTGTTTGCAGAAAATTAAATATTAAGGAGAAGGAGTAATTTAACTAAATAATAAAAGGTGCTCAAATCTACAATATAATGCAAAACAATTTGGAGGATCTCTTCTTGTAAATATATATAAGATTCGAAAACGCCTTCAATTGAAGCGTGATACCTCACGCTTTCCGGAGTGTTCAAATAGTTGTATCCCTGTTCCTTAGCAAGGCGATAGAAGTTTAATATTGAAGTACTGTCCTCGCGTTGTTTTTCGGTTTTCCTGTGCCGCTACTGTAGGTTCAACCGTTAAGGCCGTAGTTTAAGGGCGCTAAAGCAAGGATTGTATTTAGCAAAAAGATAATTTTTGCATAATAAATAAAAATTAAGAAGAAGGAATAATTTAACTAAATAACAAAAGGAACTCAAATCTACAATAAAATGCAAAAACTAACGTAGTTAAAGGGCGCTAAAGCCAGGGTTTTATTTCGCAAATGGAAAGTGTATGCAGAATAAGTAAAATTAAGGAGCAGGAGTAATTTGACTAAATAATGAAAGGTACTTAAATCTACAATATAATGCAAAACAATTTGGAAAATCTCCTCATATAAATACAGAAGATTCGAAAACGCCTTCAAATGGAGCGTCATACCTCACGCGTTCCGGAGAGTTCAAATAGTTGTATCCCTGCGGCCCTGCGCCTTAGCAAGGTGATGGAAGTTGAATATTGAAGTAGCGTCCCCGTTTGCTTTTCGGCTTTCCTGTGCCACAACTGCTGATTCGATCGTTAAGGCCGTAGTTTCAGGGCGCGAAAGCCAGGATTGTATTTCGCAAAGAGAAAATTTTACTAGAATAATTAAAAATTAAGGAGCAGGAGTAATTTAACTAAATAATAAAAGGAAGTCAAATCTACAATATAATGCAAAACAATTTGAAATATCTCTTCATGTAAATATATATAAGATTCGAAAACGCCTTCAATTGAAGCGTGATACCTCACGCTTTCCGGAGTGTTCAAATAGTTGTATCCCTGTTCCTTAGCAAAGCGATAGAAGTTTAAGGTGATTCGATGGACGCCATATTTTGTGTCAGAACGGCATGCGATATATCGCATCAATTGGTTCCATATATTCAGCTACTCGTCATTTTTCTCCTATTTTGAGATCGCAATTTTGTTGTCAGGAGTCTAAAGCACTCACTTACCAATTTTAACAAAGAAATTCAACGTAATAAAGGCGTGGTTTTTTCGGAGAGAAAATATCGCATTCGAGTGCAGTTTCGATATCAGTATCGAATGCGATGTTTTCTCTCTGAAAAAACCACGCCTTTATTACGTTGGATTTCTTTGTTAAAATTGGTAAGTGAGTGCTTTAGACTCCTGACAACAGAAGTGCGATCTCAAAATAGGAGAAAAATGACGAGTAGCTGAAAATATGGAACCAATTGATGCGATATATCGCATGCCGTTCTGACAGAAAATATGGCGTCCATCGAATCACCTTAATATTGAAGTACTGTCCTCGCGTTGTTTTTCGGTTTCCCTATTCCGCTACTGTAGTTTCGACCGTGAAGGCCGTAGTTTAAGGGCGCGAAAGCAGGGTTGTATTTCACAAGTGGATAGTTTGTAGAAATTAAAAATTAAGGAGCAGGAGTAATTTAACTAAATAATAAAAGGAACTCAAATCTACAATATAATGCAAAACAATTGGAAATATCTCGTCATGTAAATACATAAGATTCGAAAACGCCTTCAACTGAAGCGTGATACCTCACGCCTTCCGGAGTGTTCAAATAGTTGCATCCCTGCGCCTTACAAGGCGATGGAAGCTAAATTTGAAGTAGCGTCCCCGCGTTGTTTTTCGGTTTTCCTATGCCGCTACTGCAGTTTCGACCGTTATGGCCGGAGTTTAAGGGCGCAAAAGCCAGGCTTGTATTTTGCAAAAATGCAGAATAATTAAAACTTAAGAAGCAGGAATAATTTAACTAAGTAATAAAAGGTATTCAAATCTATAATATAATGCAAAACAATGTGGAGGATCTCGTCATGTAAATACAGAAGATTCGAAAACGCCTTCAATTGAAGCGTGATACCTCATTCGTTCCGGAGAGTTCAAATATTTGTATCCCTGCGCCTTAGCAAGGCGATGGAAGTTTAATATTGAAGTAGCGTCCCCGCGTTGTTTTACGGTTTTCCTGTTCCGCTACTGCAGTTTCAAACGTTAAGTTCGCGAAAGCCAAGGTTGTATTTCGCAAATAAATAGTTTTGCCAGAATAATTAAAAATTAAAGAGCAGGAGTAATTTAACTATGTAACAAAAGGAACTCAAATCTACAATATAATGCAAAACAATTTGAAATATCTCTTCATGTAAATATATATAAGATTCGAAAACGCCTTCAATTGAAGCGTGATACCTCATGCTTTCCGGAGTGTTCAAATAGTTGTATCCCTGCGCCTTAGCAAGGCGATAGAAGTTGAATATTGAAGGAGCGTCCCCGCTTGGTTTTTTGGCTTTCCTGTGCCGCTACTTCAGTTTTGACCGGCAGGGGCGGACTGGCCATGGGGGTGGGGAGGCGATCGCCCCCTAACAATTTGCCGCGGAGGTCCCGAAGGGGCCCCCGCGGCGAATTTTTTTCGAGTCATCGTTTTTTTTCCCGTAATGTTGTAATTTTTTTATTTGTATCCACTTCATGGGTGAATGGACGTTTTTACCCCTACATGTTAACGCATTTTGGTCTACTTGGTGTTTTTTTCGTTTGCATTCGAAGTTTTAACTTTCGACATTTGAGGCGATTGCGCCACGAAGAAAAAAACTTCGTGCATGGGATCCGAAGTTGAGGTCATATGGATCTCTGAAGTTTTCGGATCATGTATCCGAAAACTTGAGGTCCAGCTGCCGAAGTTCGGGTCAGGCATCGAGGCACTTCGGTATGTACCTAACGGAGTACTTCAGATGTCTGACCCGAATCCTTCGGTATATGTATATCGGAGTGCTTCAGGTGTCTGACCCGAACTTCGGCAGCTGGACCTCAAGTTTTTAGATACGTGATCCGAAAACTTCAGGGATCCATATGACCTCAACTTCGGGTCCCACGCATGAAGTTTTTTTCTCCGTGGCGCGAAACGTCGAATTCGACGATTGATGTCACAAATCGTCGCTTCTCGTTCGAAGGAACGTGAGGCCATTGCCAGATTGCAAAGTTTGCTCTGAGAATTTAATTTTTTACAAGAGTGTACTTGTGCAATTTCTGTCGCAAATTGTTTTGATTTTCGTGCGGGATCGAAAGAAAAATCAGCGAAATTTCCGTTTAGAAAACACCAAGGTTCTCCCTGTAAAAGTGCAATTTACGAGGGGAAATTTGGCAGCATTGAAATGCATTTACGTTCTTTCGTGAGGGATGAACGGGACGAGGTCATGTTTGACGTGCCTCTACCATATTTTCAACAGGGAACAGAAAAGTAAACTGGAACATTTAATTGAAAGATTATTCGTTTATGTGGCTCATTACAATGGATTTGAGACGGAACCAGGACTATAATTTACCAAAGAACGGTTTACATTACGTAAAATAAATTATGACCGCCCATTAACAAAAATGAAGTATGAATATGGATTCGGGTGTATTGAAAAATTACCGCAGGATCGAAGCGGTAAAAACTCATTACTGTGCGAGTAGGTATGGTGCAAAGTGGAGTGTGAACGCCGTCTCTGAGTGGACCGGCTGGCGACTGGAGAGGCCATAACACACCCGCTATTTCGACGACCGGATGACACCCAAGACTCCAGGACTCACGACTAGTATGCGTCTCGCATGTCGTACGTTGGTGGATGGTGGCACCAAGGCAGGAAAAACTTGGCGGAGAAGAAGACAGCGAAGGGAAGGACTGCGGCGAAGGCCAGCATGTAGGGGCACACGTTCATGCCGAAGATCTTCATCGTGTTTAGATCCACGTAAGCGAAGAGGGTGGAAAGAGAGATGGGGGTAACCACGGTACCTGAGATCTCGAAGGAGAGACTGATGCGGGACTAAACGTGGTTGGTAGCAATAGCAACAATGACACTAAGGGCAAATAGAGTTCCGTGTCCGATTAGATTCTCAAGCTCACCGTTAACGAAGTCGACTGCTCTACTGCAGACTCCTCGCCATAAAACTAGTCCGATGTAGTCACAAATGGACCGCGATTAGCAGGAATGAACCAAGCTACATCAGCAATTGGCAGATTTAACCGGGCGGTTTAGTTATTTACGAGAGAACGTTTGTGCGGATTCTTTTGAAAATTTTAAGGAACTTGCTTCGTACGATGCAGACAATTCGTTGAAATTTGCACGAAAATCCGCACACCCGTTTCTGTGCAAAAAATTAGAATGCCCAGTGAAATTTGGCAATAGATGATGTGGCTTGGTTCGTTTCTGCTTAGCGCGGTTCAAATCACTTTTAAAAGGCATTGGCGCGGAGCGCGGTTCCTCGCTTGACGGGCTAATCACAATCGAAATCGGGAGATGCCTCGACTGATAGCGGTGATAGTCGACCGCGGACGGATGGGTGCTTTAAATTTTATTTGAGATGACATGACCGATAACAATGCTTCTCAATGAGATCGTCTGAGGTTTGACAGGTCTTTCTTGTAATAAAATATACTCAGAATTTTCCCTGATTTTCACTATGGCCAGGTGCCGAATTTTTTGATCGGCTAAAATAGTTTCATGGTATTTCACAGAATTGTCAGGGTAGTCCCTGACAATTCTGTGTAATGTGTATGTTCTGTGTTCAATATTAGTATATTGCAATTCCAGGATTTGACGAGGGATTTTGAAGTTGAACTCACTATTATTTAATTTTAAAATTAAGTTTTTAGCATTCTATGGTCTCTTGAGCCATTTGAAACTAATCTTCTGAGCTCCCTCATTTTCACGCAAGCCGGCGGCTTTACTCCCTATCAGGGTGTTTCAAAAAAACTTGTTTTTTTTTTTAAAAAAAAAAAAAAAAAACCTTTGCTCCGTTCAAAATTCCTGGTGCTCCTGGACCTCAGTAACACGAACATTTTTAAGTGGATAGCAAGCCCCCCTCCTTCATTTTTTTCAATAAATACCCGCCAGCACCGTTGCGCCGCGCCGCGCCGCACCGCGAGAGAACCACTGAGTGCTCGGATAGTCAAAACGCCTTCATCTTCGTGCGTATGCAACCACGGATATCCATGGAGCCCGAATAGTTGCATCATACAGGCGTTAAAATAAAATTCGTTCAGTGTCACTGTCTGAATGGGCTCTTGTTTCTTTCAGTATATATAGAGTGGGCCAGAAGTTCCAGGACGGTCGGTTAGCTTTTGAACGGCTGCTCGTAGGAAAGTGGTTTTTGAGAATGTTTTGTGTATTTTTAGTGTAATTTTTTAGTGTATTTTCTTAGGAAAATACACTAAAACATTACGACCGAGAATATACGTATGTGGAAAATTTCTCAAATGAACGGAAGGAGAGAGAGTTAAGAGTAAAGGAAGGTGTTTTTACGCATGATAGTGGTAAACAGAGGTCCAATATAACTGCTTTCTAAGCGTGAACACTTTTCTGTGAAATTTTCACCTTTTTGTTGACTTACAGGCGCTTTATCATCCCCCTCCTTCATTCGCAATCTGTAACTCCCTTAAAAGCGATAGCCAATTCGATTTTTAGACATACGCACCCTTTATAGACCTCTTGAGATACCTTAAACATATTTCTTCCTTTTCAAAAGGACTATATTGATTTGGACATACCATAGCGTATCTCAGGCAAACTTAACCTTAATTTATCTCGAAATTCAAAAATAAAGAGACATCTACAGTGTGAATGCAGTACAACTATTCGCGTAAGATGGATGTTCACATTATTGCATATGAAAAATGTAAGACGTGATGGCGTGAATCGTGAACTCTCAATGCTATGCTCTATGCTACTAGTTTGAAGCATCATTACGAATAAGACAAACGCAAACGAACACAATATGGAAAGAAAGCGAGGGAAAGGATGCGCGTTTACGACGGCGCAGAGATACAACTATTCGTACTTGATGGATGTCCGTGCTGCATCTGAAAAATTGAAGGCGCGATGACGCGAAGCGTGAGCTCTCAATGCTCTGCTATATGCTACCAATGAGGTGTCGCTCAGATTTGGGAGAAAACAGAGTCGGACTGGCCTTAAGGCCAACCTGCCATCGGCATATACGCCCTGTCGCCCCCCTGACGCATCGAAGACACGCCCCTTTGCCAGATACAGCAAAATAAGATGAGAGAAGAAATTCGGGAAATTCATAATTGAACGCAAGAATAAGAGAAAGTAAGAGTAAAGAAAGGTCCTCGTACGTATGATAGTGTTGAATGGAGGTTCTGGAATTATAAACCGGATTTAAAGTCCCCAGCGGCGCCTGGGCCTACAAAAATGCTGGAATATTGATTTTTGATTTTTTTTTTTTTTTTTTTTTTTTTTTTTTTTTTTTTTTTGCTGAATTTTTGCTGAAGCTTTGAGATATTGAAAATTTTTGTCGATTATCGTTTTCGAAAAGAGGATGATGAGCGTCATTAAGCGAGGAAATCAAAATAGCTCTTGAACTTTTGTCAAGTGTAAAAATACCTATACATGAATTTCTAAGGTGGGTAAAAAGTTCTTTTCTTCGAAATTTTCACCTCTTTGGCAGGGCCGTATTTACCTACTTGCCACCCATGGGCCACCTGTATTTTTCCGTCCCCCTCTCATTTGTTTTGAAACATAAATTGATCGTATTCGACAGTGGTCCGATGTGTCGTTTGGTTCAAAGCAATAGAACATGACCTCAAACAAAAATTTTAGGATTTAATTTGGAAAAGCTGAAAACGAGAAAATTCCTAACAATTTCCCTCTTCATTGCCATTTGGTACTCGGGAGAATAAAAATTCGATCACGTAAGACCCATTACCTCAGATTTCTAAATTGACTTTTGAGGCCGTGGTTACATATTGAACCAATCGATATGAATATAATCTCATCTGTATAATCTGTCGAATACGATCTATTAAAACCATCAAGTGAACGTGCCGGTGGGGGAGGGGTGAATGAGACGCGTTTACTCGTGTTGGGCACATTTTTGTGAAAGCCCTGTCAACACTAGCAAAAGTTCAGTTCCATAAACCCATCCCTGCTTGGACAAGTCTTTCCATTTATAAAAAACGAACGAAAAAATTATGAAAGAACAAACATAAATGTGGTTAAAAATGTTAACTTCCACCACCGCGCCGACCGCACTGTGTTGGCGCAATGCGTGAAGTATTCATGCAGTCTTGTAGGCGCTGTGCGTTTCAAGCCGACTGCTGCTAACCGCAATGTGTTTGACGCAATGCTTGAAGTATTCATGCAGTCTTGTAGGCGCACCGCTGTGACGCTCCTTTCCAGGTCAAATCGCGTGTTTGGTCTCTCTCTTAACTCGACTAATTAAAGGTGTTGTCTCTTGTATCACCGAAAGTGGACAAAATTAGAAATAACTATAATTTTACTTCAGGAAATGAGAGATTTTGTCGCCTTTTCTCGTTTGTAATTTATTTTCTGAATCCGATTTTTTCTCTTTTTTTGATACCTACATTCAAAAAGATTGCAAAATTTGCCGCCCCCTACATTTTGCCGCCATGGGCCGTGGCCCATGTAGCCACTGCCTTAATCCGGCCCTGCTCTTTTGCAACATAGAGACGCTTAATCACCCCCCACCCCCCCCCCCCCTCCCCGTCCTCATCCACCACGTGTCACTCTCTCAGAAGGGGTAGCACAGTCAATTTTTAGACGTGCGCCCTCTTGATCGCTTGAGAGACCTCTAACATTTTTAAGCGTGCCAGTAGGGTTCGCTTTTTATTCTTCTCAAAATGATAATTGATTGGGGCGCATCCCATTTTCGGCTGTGTTGCTCACGTAGCCCTTGAAGCACCACTACAAATCAGACAAACGAAACTAATACAATGTGGAAACCGAGCAAATGGAAAGACGGCGCAGATATACAACTATTCGTGCCAAGACCAATCCACACAGGTCAGTCATTCCCGAGGACGAGTTTTGGTACTCTACTGCGCAGTGACGTAGTATCGAGTGCCTGCAATGTATTTCTTATGGGAGCACCCGTTGTGACGTAGCATTGAGTGCTGCGAGTTAGGTCCGAGCGGGGGAGTGGATTTCAAAAAAACTGCGCAATGACTGAACTGTGTGGATTGGCCTTGATTCGTGCTTGGTGGATTTCTGTGTTGCATCTGCAAAATTGAAGGTGCGATGGCGCGAGCTGTGAATTCGCGATGTTCCGCAGCTCCGCTTTGTGCTGCCAATGAAGTGTCGTGAGAAAATTAAGAAACGAGGCTCGATTATTACGACTCTTCTATTTACGGCTGTGTTGCTCATACAGTCTTTAAATCACCGCTACGAATACAAATAAGACAAACTGAAACAAACACAGTATGGAAATAGAGCAAAGTAAAAGGAGGCGCGTTGATGACGGCGCAGAGATACAACTATTTGAACATGATGGATGTCCGTGTTGCATCTGCAAAATTGAAGGCGCGATGGCGCTAGGCATGAACTCGCAATGCTCCGTTCTATGCTGCCGGTGAGGTTTCCCCCCAGATTCGGGAGAAACAATTTTAAAACTAGGCCCGGTGACGGAACGGTGCAGTGTAACGCAAATTACAAACCGTATATCCTATACTGCCGTGCTATGGAAAAACGCCGTATGAACCTTCAGTCGTTGCCACATTTCCTTTGATAACACACGAATTTCCTAGTGAATGTATGAATAATTTTCTTCCAAATTTTCAAATAATTTAGTTCTCAATTTAAGCTTTGCCTAAAGCTCCAGAAAATCCCAAAGGAAAATGTTCATAACTTTCCTCAAAAATAAACCTCACATCCAAGGAAATTTGGCAACTCTCGGATGTTCATACGGCGTTCTTCCTATGCACGGCAGTATACCACACAGACTTGTGACATCACCTTGGCCTACCATACATGACGAGTAGAAATTCAAAACCTGGCGAGCGTCATCAGGTTATTGATAAAATATACATGTTGCTCTTTAGCGTTAAGTTCATTGAATTTCCGTGAGGAAATTTTCTCTAAATTTGGTCTATTAGAAACTGATGCCTCATTGTAGGCACCCGATAGCACTTACCAGGTATTGAATTACTGCTCTTCGTGTAAAAAAGAAAATCCACACTTCTTCAGTTTCGTGTTGCTCTCACCTGAAAATTTCAGTTTCGTATGGTACAATGAAAAGATTCTCAGGGTTTGACGTCAGCCAGAACCTATATTGCCGTGCTAAGGAAGAACGCCGTATAAACCTTTAGGCGTGCCAAATTTCCTCCGCTATATCAC